GGTCCCCAAAGCTGGCACTGCCCTTCTCCCCGGTCTCCCGGCCTGGAGTCGGCTGGGCGCACGCGCAGTGGGTCCCGCCAAGTACGGCCGTTTGCGTTGCCACAGTGGCCCCCGGCCTCTCATCAGAGGCCCTCCGCGCCTTTGCGACCCTCTCCCGTCAGGACCCTCCTCTCCCGAATCCAAACAGGGTCTTCCAGGCCCACCGTGCCCCGGCCACATGTCGCCGGGTGGCCAATCAGAGCACGCCACTCCCTGGCCGCGGTCATTGGCGGGCGCCTGACCCCAAGTGACCCAATTGGAGTCGCTCCCGAGCCCCTGCAATGACGGGGCAACTAAGGAGCAGGACTGGGGGCAAGCCCGCTCCAGGGCCCCACCGCCCAGATCCCCGCCCCGCCGCAGGGCCCCGCCCACGCCTCACCTCTAGATATTAGGGCCCCGCCCACGTCCCCTCTTCCTGGAGACCCGCCCCATGACCACGACCCAGACACCCGCCCCTGGGCCACGCCCACCTCTCCTCCTGGAGACCCGCCCCAGAGCCCAATCCAGAGCTCCTGGGTTTCAGGCCCGGGGCTCGCGGTGGCTTCCTCTCCGGCCGTCCTGCTCTGTGGCTGTGCCCGTGCCTCCGCCCTTGCTGCCGTCATCCATCGCTCAACCCCTCACCCATCGCTCAGCCCCTCACCGGTCGCTCAGCCCCTCACCCCTCGCCCAGATCCTCCCTCTCCCTCCTCCTTTCCCGGGCCCCACCTGCTGCGTCTCGGGTCCAGCTTCCCGGCCACTGCCCTGACCTTCGACTGGTCCGCTCTTCAGCAGGGACCTTCCTGGAGCTTAAATCGGATCCTGTCACTCCCCCCCCCCTTTTAAATGTTTTTATTGATTTTTAGAAAGAGGGAGAGAAGCGTCGATGCGAGAGGAACACCCATGGGCTGCCTCCTGCGCGCCCCCTGCTGGGAATGGAACCCCAAACCCGGCCCTGTGCCCAGACGGGGAATCCAGCCTGTGACCGCGGTGCACGGGTCCGCGCTCAATCTACTGCGCCACACCGGCTGGGCATCCCTTCTTTAAAAAATTTTTAAGTGGCCGAAACCGGTGTGGCTCAGTGGATAGAGCGTCGGCCTGCGGACTGAAGGGTCCCGGGTTCGATTCCGGTCAAGGGCATGTACCTGGGTTGCGGGCACATCCCCAGTGGGGGATGTGCAGGAGGCGGCTGATCGATGTTTCTGACTATCTCTCTCTCTTCCTCTCTGTAAAAAATCAATAAAATATATGAAAAAAATTTTTTAAGTGATTTTAGAGAGAGAGAGGGAGAGAGAGAAACAGCCATCGGCTGCCTCCCGTAGTACCGACCAGGGATCAAACCCGCGACCTGGGTATGTGCCCAGGTGGGGAATCGAACCAGCAACCTGATGCCGCTCCAACCAACGGAGACACACCGGCCAGGGCCCTGTCGCTTCTTAGACCCCGGGGGCAGCCTGCGCACGG